CTATGGACCCCACCCCCCCCCCAGCATGGCAGGGGTCTGTCCCCCACCCCGCTGCCAGCAGTAATTCCCATACCCGTGCGGTATGCACCCTCGCAGCCGCCACGAGAATGGAAACATCTGGAAGTCACCCACAAACGAGCGGCGCTCCCAGTTAATGAGGAAATATGAGTCGGAGACCCTGGGCAGCAACAGGATATCAGCTTCTTGTGCGCCGAGCGAGGCACCCCCTTCCCACCGAGCCCCCTGCCTGCCCTCCTTCCCCTGGAAATTTCCCAGGAAAGGACGACAGGCGGGAAGGCAACAAACAGAAATAGCAGGGGCAAGCGCCCCGTTCCCAAACTGGGATGCCCCCATCACCTTCCCTTGGTTCCCCCCAGGAGCTGGGGAAAGGAAGAAGAGTGATTTTTCTTCTCCGGAGGGAGTCTTGCATCAGCCTCTTTTGGGCATCAGGTCTGTGAGCAGCAGGGGCTGCAAAGCAAGATGGGAGGAAGGACCGAGCACTTGGAGGTGTGGGGCAGAGACTTCAGACCCCCACAGCACCCCTCCATCCCTCTCTCCATCCCTGTCACACTCAGCCACCCATAAGACCTCCTGAGGCAGGAGCACCAGGAAGAAGGGGGGGACACTTTGCACAGCCCCGTCTTTGATGTTGTAGGAATCAAAGTAAATCCTCAGCTGGGAAGGCTGCGGGGCCACTTGTCTGCTCCCATGATAAGCCCAGTGGCCAGTCTCTCTGTAATGGTGAGACTGGTACCTCTGCCTGGGGCACAGGGTTACAGATGGGATGAAAGGCTGGGGTGACTGAAGGTAAATGAGGTAGCCAGGTGTCTGTGGTGATAAGGCTGGGAGGGGTCCAGGTATTACCTCCTGCCCAGGGCACCTATAGATGGTACAGTGGCTCTGCAGCACCATCCAGCCCCACAGCCACCTCTCATTTATCAGCTGAGGTGGATAAACAGGCTGGGAGGCAGGATTGTACGGATTCACTTTCCAGGCAGCTGTATATGAAAGAAGGGGGTCTCGGGAGGGTGCAACCCCTGCTAGGGTACAGCCGGAGCGGCCGCACCGCCTCTGCTCATACCCAGGCAGCCAGAGGCCAGGATGGGTACTGAGTCCTGGAGCTGGCACATACCCTGGAGGTCTCCAAAGCACTTCAGCACCAGCCCCAGAAGGACAAAAGTCACAGCCTGGCTGGCATGGCCGCAAGACCACAAGGTTTGGGGAGGGAAGCTGAAGAGGGGGGATTTCCAGCTGCTTTCCTGGAAACAGGGCCAGTCCTGGCCTGGAGCACAAAGATGCTTGGAGCAGGGGCGAAGAGGAGGAGGTGGTGGAGAGCCGGCCACCCCGTGAGGACTGGAGCGTGGCCCCTGTCCCATCTGGAAGAGATTTGTTCTGCATTCCCCAGCGGAGGCGGCTGCCGTTGCCCAGGCTCCGCTTCCCACTGCAGCCCCCACTGCAGGGCACGGGGACAGGAGTGAGGGAGAGCCCCTCAGGCTCGGGGGGGGAGATGCCCTGACAGGCCATGCAGTTGGAGAAGATCCAAAGAAATGGTCTTTTCCTGCCTCTCCCACCACCCCCATTGGCTTCCTCTGAGCCTGACATGTGGGAAGAGATGCCTACCATACCTCTGGCAAGCAGGGAGGATGCAGGTCAGGATTTCTCCTCCTTTCCCCACTGGTAGCACAGCTCACCCCTCCTCAGACCTGAACTCCTGCCTCCCTCTGAGACGTAGACCCACTAGAAGTACCACCAACACACACGGTCCATGTGCTCTTAATCCCTAATGGAGAAGACCACCACAGAAGGCAGAAAACCTGTCTATCCCATTTCACAGAGGAGAAGCCTGAGGCTGAGACCTGTGTCAAAATCCTACTGCTGCTTAGCAAACCTCTGAGCAATGACTAAGGTGCTCCTGCCCAGGCACCCCAGCACGGGCCACCTGAGCCTAGTGAGAAGCCAGGCTCTATTTTGACATCTCCTCTGCAGACATCTTGTCATCCCTTCAGCCAGGCCCTGCTTAACCCCAACAAGTCTCATCTCGCCTTTGCCAGCGGAGACACCTCCCTTCTCCTCCACAGGGCCCTGAATAGGTGCTTGTGCCTGGCCGAGTGTTCCCCAGCAGAGCCACCGAGTCTCACCTGGAGGCCATGAGTGTCACCGTGGCACTGGTGATGCTGTGCCCACCAGCAGGTTGCCCCTCATCGGCAATGATAGGGTCTTCTGCCCTGTGATCATCAAGGGAGAAAGCAACGAAGCACGATGCCAGAGGGATGAAATGTCCCATGTGTGGGCAGAAACCCTCCCTGGTGCCACCAAGGAGCACCTCCTTGAATTTACCCACTGCCACGCCCTCACCCTGGTCTGATGCTGTGCTGCTGATATGACGCTTGTCCTGACCCCGTAACACTTGTCCTGACCCCATAATGCCCACCTGGCCCACACGGCCTTCAGGGAGGCTGTTATCCTGCTAACATTCAACCCAACGCTACCCACAGGCCCTGGCATGACCAGGTACCCCCAGACCCCATTCCTAGTTGGCAGCGCTACACAGCAGGCACTGGGGACTTCCCATCCAATGCGGGACGGGATGACCCCCATCTGATACATTCGGGGTCACACACACAGGGGGCAAACTCCTTTCCTTTGCCTCCCGGCCAGGCTCCCCTAACCAGATTAGCCAGCAACCTGGGCTTCCCCCTTCCCCCAAATCCATTGAAGTGGGTGCCCGCGAGCGGGAGGCAGCCGATGCTGGAGGACGGGAAATGGCACTGGGGAAGCGGGGGGGTGGGGGCGCGCGGCAGAGAAGTTCCTGAAGTTTTCTGTCCTGGATAGTTGGAATAAATCTCATTTTCTCTGGTCTCCTTGCTGAGGCGAGGATTGGCTCGGCGGTGCTGCAGCCCGCCCTCCTCCTTCCCACGTCCCCTCCCCGCCAGCTTCGCTCCCTCTCTCCCGTGGCATCGGGGCGTCAGCCTGGGAGAGCCAGCCTTGGGGGGACAGTCGTGGGAAAAGGGGGGGCACACCTCCCCTCTCTCCCCCCCTGCTCCAGGACGCAGAGCCAGTAACCCTCAGAGAAAGTTGCAGGGGCCCACGGGAAGCATCTCCCAACTTTTCGGCCGGAGGACGGGAAAAAAAAATAACAACCGTGGTTTGGAAGAGGTAAATCCTGAAAGTTTTGATTCCTCAGTTTGTAGAGCTGGGGGAGTTTCGGGAGCAGAAGGAAAAGGGTGGAGAGGGTGGTAGGAGAGGGGAGAAGCGGGAGGGGTGGCATGGCGATGGAGACGGGGAGGGTGGCGAAAAAGAAAGGGAGAAGAAGGCAAGAATGCAACAGGAAACCGGGAGGAAGGAAAGCGAGAGCAAGGAGAGGGGAGACAGGCCGGGGGGGGAGCCAGGAGAGAAAGGGGGTGAGGAGGGGGTTC